GTATATACGTATATAAGGAGCTCTGGTAGTGTAGTGTTTACGAATTGGGATGCTAACCTCAAGGTCAGCAGTTTGAAACTACCAGGGGTTCCGCAGAAGAAAGATGAGACTTTCTGCCCCTGTAAAGATTTACAGCCTCGGAAACCCTATATAGAGTCGCTATGAGTTGGAACCGACTCCACAGCACACCACCATCACCATCATATATGTATATATATGTTGTTAAGGAGCCCTGGTAGCGTAGTGGTTATGAATAGGACTGCTAACCTCAGGGTCAGCAGTTCAAAACTACCAGCTGTTCCGTGGGAGAAAGATGAGGTTTCTACTCCCATAAAGATTTACAGCCTCAGAAACCCTGTGCAGGGTCACTATGAGTCGGAACCAACTCCACGGCACATAACAACAAGAAGAATGTATGTTGTTAAGTGCCTTCAAACCGGCTCTGACTCACAGTGATGCTGTAAAGGGTTTCCAAGGAATGATTGGTGAGTTTGAACCACCGACCTTGTGGTTAGCAGTTCAGTGCATATCCTACTGGTGTGACGCTGCAGGATACGCACTAGACTGATAACCACAAGGTGAGTAGTTCAAACCCACCAGCCACTCTGCAAGAGAAAGATGATGCTGTCTGCTCCCATAAAGATTTACAATCTCAATAATCCTATATAGGATCACTGAGTCACAATCAACTTAATGGCAGAGGGTGACATATGTATATATGTGTATGTATGTTGTTAAGTGTCTTCGAGTTGGTTCTGACTCATAGCAACCCTGTATAGGGTTTCTGCAGAGTTGCTGGTGGGCTTGAATTGCCGACCTTGTGGTTCACAGTCCAGTGCTGATCATACAGCACCACACCAGGAATCCTTGTGGTGGTTATGTGCATGGAGTCAGTTGCGACTCATTTAGTGGCTCTCTTTAGGTTTTCCGAGGCTGTAAATTTTTATAGGAGTAGAATGCCTCATCTTTCTCCTGCAGAACTGCTGGTAGTTTCAAACTGATGACCAGGAGATTAACAGCCCGATTCATAACCACTATGCTACCAGAGTTCCTTGGAGTCTCTCTATATATACTTGTATATATTTCTCTTTTGAAGAAACTCTCCAGCTAAGATTTGAAATTTACTCATATTATCTTTCACATACTTACATCTGTGTCTAGCATTGGGGGAAAATGAAGCAGATAAAATATTATGATTTCAGGGTTGTCTGCCCCTTACGACACTTTCCTTTTGATGTTTGGTCAAGTAGTACCACTCGCTGAGACATAATTCAATGATTATAGACTGTTCGCTCCATTTCTATTTATGCTCCTGTACCTGACTCAGAATTCCTTATAGCGGAGGTGAAAAACGAGACTTCAGGGACTTCTGAGTATCTGACAACAACCACTGAATAGCCCTAGGCATCCCTAAATTGAATGTTTTAAAACAAACACTATTTTTCAAAGAAAGTACCTAATCAGTGTTTTTTAAGTTATAAAAACATAATAATGGCATTAAAAATTTTTTTTTTTTTTTTACTCTCATGATGCAGCCATTTAGAAAATGTTGCTTATAATGTACTTATCAGTGCAATTACTTAGGGCATCCTATTTTTTAATACAGTCTGGGTTTCGGTAAATGCATCGTAAATTCTGTATATCAGATTGTTCTCATTAATGTTTATATTACATATAATGAATGGAAAGTCGTCCTGAGACTATGATAAGAGTTGGAATGTTGGCTCTGTTGCTTTAGGCTGAATCATTAATGGCTTTGAATATGTTTCTGTTCAGTTGTGGGATGACTCAGAAATACAAAAGTCTGTGAGGGACTCAAAATCTCCATCATTATTCCTATAGGAACATTGAAGTCATAAAGATGTGTACCGGGTATGTGTATTTAGTACATAAAAACAGGAAAAATAAGGTGAAACATATTGTTACCAAATTTTGAAGCTATTAAAGGTAAACAAGATAGTTTGGGTATCATCCTTTTAAAATGCCTCTAAAGATTGGGGATCATTGGAAGAGGGAACGCTGAGGTTCCTAGTGTTTTTATTAATGATTATATAAATCTGTCTCCCTCATTAAGAATCAGACTAATGGATAGCGTTAAGATGCTTATCTTGAAAAAAATCAACATTTCCTAAATTGTTCTCTTCCTTTACTAAGTAGTGACTGACATGAAAATCTGGCTTAGTTCATAATAAAATGGGAGAAAAGGCAGATTGAATATGTTTAAAATAGAGAAAGACATTACATGAGTATAGATTAGGTCTCTCTGCCATTATTTTTTTCTGAAATGTAGTGTTTTCAACACGGGTCCTCAAGAGGCAAATAGGTCAGTCTTAGATATAAATTTTGCTCTCATATACACTTGTCTGCTTCCATTTTGAATGTAACTTTTAGACTTTCACCCCAAAGGAAGTTTACTTATATATAAGTTTTAATTATTCTTAGTCATGGGACATATGTCAGTGAACATTTTGGAAACTATTGAAAAGTTTAAAGAAGACAATTAAAGTAACCCTAATGATATCACCTGAGATAAAGTTGTTTCCATTTTGGTGTATTATACTGTTTATATTATTTGAATATTCCTTTTTCTTTTGTAATCAGTCAATATTTCTTATATGACTAACTTTTTTTAAAGTTTTTATTGTGAATTGAGTGTAAGTTCACAGGGCAGAATATCAGTTTTATGTTCAACAAATCATATACTGTACTTCATTATAATGATTATAATCCCCTCCATGTACCATCAATTAACAGTATTTCTCTCTATTAATTTTAGCTCTTTTTTTAAAAAAGAAAAAGGAAAATCTCAAGCATATATAATAATTTATACCACCAAAGGGCACATTCTGCAAGTCTGCCTCCTGGCCGCCAGTGCTCAGTACTTCTCTTTCCATGAATCTAGAGTCCTCAGCTGCTCCCTCTCTCCATATCCCTATCTCTGCCTCCATCTCTGGTGTCACTGCTTCTCTGGATAGGGTCCCACATTCCTCTTATGCTCCTCTCCCTTGATGGTCTAGGGTCCTCTGTTTCTGGACTGTAAGATTAACTACTCCCCGTTTTTGTTATAAAACTTCTCTACCTTTACAATTGTGACAGTAGAAATTAGTCATGGTAACAATTAACTTACTACTAAATCATAAGAATCTTATCCCCATCTCTTTTTAACAGACCCATCGAGACAAGATGAAATTATTCATGGGGGACTCTGTCTTCTCCCACACAGTCTTAAACTATACTCCCTCTTGAAACCTTGTAAGCCAGTCACTTCATGCCTTGATTGACCCCTCATTTTAGGTAGCCAATGTCTATGTTGCCCATCCCTATCTACCCTGTATATAGAGGGGATAGGATTGATACTTGATGTGAAGGCTCCTTCCCTCTCTGTTGGTATTTTCAACTACTACCTCCATGAGTATAGGTCAAGTTCATCAAATTGTAGCAATTTATGCTCGTTTCCTTTATCACCCATATAATTAATTTTTATTTTGAAAATGATTCTTAATGACCATATAGTGTTTTGTTACAGAGATATACCATGGTTTATTAAGTTGTTGCTTAGTTAGCCAGGAGTTCCTGGGTGGTACTAATGGTTAAGTGCTAGACTACTATCCTGTTGGTGTTTTGAACACACCGAAACAATCTGCTTCCATAATGTCACAGCTTTGAAAACCCTGTGGAGTTGTTCCTACTCTGAGCACATATGGGATGCCATTACCTGGAATCTACTTGACAGCAACTAACAGCGGCAACCCTGTTGGCCATTTATGCTGCTTCCAGTTTTTAAAAAATCAGAGGTGAATTTTGAGACATAGACTTTCTTGGGTCCATCTCTATTCCGTTAGAGGAGATTCCTAGAAGTAGATTTTACTGGGTAAAAGCTTATGACCGATCTCAAGAAACTGAATACATATTGCCGAAATGCTTTCTAGAAAGAATGTTTGATTTAAGCATAAACATTTGCCTCTTCACTAGCTGATTTTTTATTGTGATAATTACCTAATTTAGTCAGTATGTCCATACAACAAAGAGTAGCAATATTTATTGAGCCGAGCCCTTTCCAAATTTCATCTCATTTTATTCTCATAGCAACATCTTATTTCACAGATGAGCAAATATGTTCAAAAGGTTAAGTAATTTTCTAAGGTCATGCATTCAGAACATGAGTAAGGGGGAGTTCAAGTTCAGGGTTATATGATCCCAAAGTTTATTTTCCAAGGTTTCTTCTCACTGTGCTATATTTCTATTTCATCATTGATTACCAAAGAACAAACACACCTTATCCCTAATTTTTTTATAAATTAAACATGCGAGATCTTTGGAGAATACATAATAAACACCAATTCTGAGACTTCCAGGCATCTTGCATGAAGTAACCAGTCAGTGAAGACTTGTGTCCCCATCCCCAGACTTAGTGGCAGCTTTTAGGCTACCTCAGGTTTTATTAGTCACCTTTACCCTTAACTGGGTATGTATTCAAGTGAATTCATTATACTTTCAAGTAAGGAATTTCCTGCAAATCGGGGAAATACTGTCATTATCAGATTTTATACAAGATCTCTGAAGAGAAAAATAAGAGCTTTAAGACTTTGTCTTCTCAAACTGCCCTTTGTATTTGCTATTCAGCTCTTTTACCTCCTCGTTATTTTACTTTAGCATCTCAGTGCTGGAAAGCAAGTGACAGAGTCTCTGCTGACACCTATTTTGGTCTTTTCTTTCTTTCTTGTCTTCTTAGTGGCTTTTTGCTTCTTCTTGTGCTGGATCAGCTCGTTGAATCATAGTGGTTAATAGCATAAGAAATATATTTATTATGTGTTTATTCGTAAGTATACAAGAGAGCCTCAAAAATCTTGTGGAAAAATTCCATGATCTCTTCAGTTCATTTTTCCATGAACTTTTTGAAACTCTGTGTTCTTTCAGCCTAATTCCAAAAGCCGTCTTGTAATCACTGAGAAAATGAAACAAAACAACGATTTCTGAGTATCTACTGGGTTCTGTTCCAGGTGTGTGAATATCCTGACGGGACCAAGTCTTTGAAGTTGGGAGACTTTGGACTGGCTACGGTGGTAGAAGGGCCTTTATATACAGTCTGTGGCACCCCAACTTATGTAGCCCCAGAAATCATCGCTGAAACTGGGTAAGATTCCTGTTGGGTTTGGTGAGTGCTCTAATTCCGTGAGGAGGGCTACAGTTCTGTTGCTCCTGTGGCTTGTGTGTATTCACATGTCTCTTGTGAAGGCACAGGAAGGAAGGAGAGATGGTATGGCAGGAACTAGAGTTTGTGTTCAGATACTCAAGAGTCCTAAGCTAAGACTAGTCCTAAAACCAACCTGGAAATATAGCAACAGCACCAAGATTATGTTTAAACAGGGCTGGGGGAGAGAAACTGAGTGGATGCCTTTATCCAAAGGGCAATTAATTCCTTACATGAAATGAGCAGTTTGACACTGGAAAAGTCCTTTCTCCTGACAAACAAAGGCAGGACTCCCTGCTTCCTGGGAGCGTTAGGTGAGTAGTCTCATTATTTCTCCCCCTTCCCACCCACTTTGTTTTCTCAGCTATGGCTTGAAGGTGGACGTTTGGGCAGCAGGTGTGATCACTTACATACTCCTCTGTGGATTCCCACCCTTTCGAAGGTCAGTGCTCTCTGGGTGGCACTATTTGGATTTTAAAGTACCTCCCTTCCATTAGGAAGTAGACACTTTATTCGTGGCATTCCACACTAAAAACTGCTTGGTGGTTGAAAAGTCAGCTGAAAATTATACAGTAAAGTCTGTGAGAGCTGGAACTCAATGGGCTTGCCGTGTGTTTCCGGGTCGTGCAAGATAGTTTTCCACATTTGACAGGGTGTAGCCCTATCACTTTATTATTGGAAAAGGCTTGAGCTTTCCAGGTTCTGGCTTTCACAGGTTTTCCTTGTGTAAACATACTGTTCACTTGTAAAATAAAAATTGTGGGAAAATACTTATGAAACATTTGTCATTTTAACCTTTTAAAAGTGTGCCATTCATTAATGGGACATTAATCACCACTCTCTACTTCCAAATGTTCTTAATTCCCTTCAACAGAAATTCAGTAGCCCTTAAATAATAAATAACTACCCATTGTTTGCTCTTCCAATCTCTGGTGACCAGTAATATATTTTTGGATCAGTACATGTACCTTTCCTAAGTATTTCATATAAGTTATGCCTTACAGTATTTGGCCTTTTGTGCCTGTCTTATTTTGCTCAGCATGTTTTCAAGGTTTATTCATGTAGCATGTATCAGAATTTATTTTTATTTATGGCTGAATAAGGCCTGGATGTGTGGTAACCTTTCACTTTTTACCTTCTAACCTATTCATGTATATCCATTGAACAAATGTTGATGTGAAGCCAAGGCTTTTGGTTTGTGTATGGTTGTAAAAGGTGTGGCGTCCAAGCTGGACCTCCTCTGGCTTCACAAGGGGGCAGGTGGAGAAGTAGCATCAACATCAGCATCAGCATCTGCTCAGGGCCAATTCCCATGAGGTTAAGGTCCAGTATGCCTCCAGCTTTCTACCCTCTCTACCAAATTAACCACCTTGCCCACAGAATTTTCTACTTCTCAGTTGGGTCCAATAATTATTTGCATTGGCCTCTCAGAATTCATATAGTACTAAAAATTGTGGGGATTTATTAGGAACGTTGACAGGTTACAATTCAGGGTCAGAAATGCTCAAGGTACAGTTCTTCTAGTCAGGCCAGCCTCTCCTCAGCTGTGCCCGCAGGCTTGAGCTTCCTCAGTTAAGTACCTGGAGACACCACTCCACAATGGAGATTCTTGCCTGAGGCACTTGATCATATGCTATGTATGGTACAGTGACTCTGTATTCTTCCATCTTCTTTTAATGCTTTTTGCATTATTCAATATTTTGCCATAGAATCCTTGAAGTTGAGGCTGAAATTATTTCTTCAGTTCCCTCAGCTTAAGAAATGCTGAGTATGTACTTCCCTTTTGGTTTTCTAACTCCATGTCTTTGCACATTTTGTTATAATATTTGACTTTGTCTTCTTAAGCTGACCTTCTAAACTTTCTGTTCAGCTTTTTGTCCACCTTTTTTCTTCCACTTGCTTTAGATCTCAATTCTGGACAGGATATCTCAGAGTCTCTTCTGACATCCATTTTGGTCGTGTCCTTCTTTCTTGTGTCCTTAATGACCTTTTGCTTTCTTCCTGTAATGATGTTCTTGATGTTATCCCACAACTCTTCTGGTCTTCAGTCTTTAGTGTCTAATGCATCAAATCTGTTCTTCAGATGATCTGTGCATTCAGGTGGAATATGTTCAGGTTCATATTTTGACTCTTGTGGATTTGTTTCAGTTTTCTTGAGCTTCATCCTGAACATACATATATACAATTTATGGTCTTTTCCACAGTCTGTATCTGCCCTTGTTTTGGCTGATGATATGGAGATATTCCACAGAGGTAGTTAATATGATGTTTGTGTATTCCATCTGGTGTGGTTTATGTGTATAGTTATCTTTTATGTTATTTTAAAAAAGATACTTGCAACGAAGAAGTCTTTGGCCTTGCAAAATTCTATCATGGTATCTCCAGCATCGTTTCTATCACTAAGACCATATTTTCCAAGTACTGATCCTTCTTCTTTCTTTCCAACTTTTACATTCCAATAGCCAGTAAGTTGGAGTCCTGGTGTGGCGCTGCGGGTTAATGTGCTGGACTGCAAAGTTGGTTTGATCACAAGGTTGGTGGTTCAAGCTCACCAGCCTCTCCTCGGAAACCCTGTTATAGAGTTGTTATGAGTTAGAACTGACTTGATGACACTTAACAACAACAACAAAAAGCCAGTAATTATCAGTACATCTTGATTGCATGTTTGGTCAGTTTCAGAATGAAGAAGTTGGTAGAATTCTTCCATTTCATCATCACTAGCTTTAGTGATTGGTGCATAAATTTGAATAGTGGTATTAAGTGAACGTCCTTATTGGCATATGGATATCATAGACAAGATTTTACTTCAAGACAGATCTTGATATGTTCTTACTGATGATGATTGTAATGCCATTCCTTTTCGATTTGCTATTCCTGGCATAGTAAATCGTGTGGTTGTCAGATTCAAAATGGCCAATACCAGTCCATTTCACCTCACTAATGCCTGGGATATCGATGTTTATGCATTCCATTTCATTTTGGACAATTTACAATTTTCCTAGATTCATACTTCATACATCCCATGTTCCAATTATTAATGGATGTTACAGCTGTTTCTTCTTATTTTGAGTTGTGTCCCATCAGCAAATGAAGATCTCAAAGGCTTTACTCCATTCGCATCCATCACAGTCCACTCTACTTTGAGGAGGCAACTCTTCCTTAGTCGTATTTTGAGTGCCTTCCAACTTGAGGGGCTCATCTGCCAGCACTGCATCTGACAATATTCTGATGTTCTTCATCATGTTTCAATATTTAATTGCACTTCAGGCCAGTTCTCCCCTTGACTCTCAGGCCTCGCCAGTACACATAGGCTAGGTCAGTGCCCATGGGCTTAGGAGTTTACACAACTCCCGAAACTTCAGACCAGCCAGCCCTCTTTCTCCTCTCTCTCTCATCTCAAGGTCAACAGGTGCCAATAGAATATGTCCAAACTCAGCCCGTGTCTTCATTGTTGCGCTTTCCCCACTTCCACTCTCAAATATACCCAGGTGGTTACCAGTGAGTATACTAGATTGCTCTAGGATTCCCTGTAACTTTCAGTCCTATACAGGGCATTTCCCCGATGGACTAACTTTTCTTTCCTTGATGCCTCCAAAGCAAACAGCTCTCTTGAAACTCAAAAATCCAAACAGTCTGTTTTTTCCTACAGGTCTTTCAATAAGAATCTTCTGTTCTCCGGTCAGTTCTGGGTTGGTCTGCATGTCTTCTCAAATGCAAATATCCCAACTCAGAATATTCTGGGTGGGGCTCAGGATTCTATCTAAGGCCCCATACGCTATAAAGGATTAACAAGAAGCCTAGTTCTCTGGGAAAATTCTTACTCCCCTTTTGGCAAATCCAATAAATTATAAGGGAGGCTTACAAGCTTTCTGATATCATAATTCCCAATATTCACTTCTATCACACAGGAATGTCTACTTTACAGTATTGTTGTTGTTAGTGCTGTCGAGTTGGTTCCGACTCATAGTGACCCTGCATAGGGCTTTCTAGGAGCACTTAGTGAACTTGAACCGCTGACCTTGAGGTTCAAACTGACCATGCAGTCCAGCACATTAACTTGTAGTGCCACACAAGGACTCCATTTTACAGTATTAGGTAGGGGAAATCAATATCCACAAGGCAGTCGAACACATAAAACTTTTTTTTTCCCTCCCTTACCCATTTTGCCTGTGTCTTAATCCATGTCACATGACACTGTTGTTCCAAGGTTGTGTATATATCACTATTTACTTCTTTTCCCTTTAGCCCATGCATACCTACCTGGAGTTCATTTCATACCCATGATAGAGCTCTAAGTTTTTACAATCACAATTAACCCTGTTAAGAATCCCACACAACTGAGTCATATAATCCATGATCATCTTCCCCCACTCTCAATTAACCCAGACCCATCAGGAAAAGGTCATTTGGTGGGATTATCAAGACTATAGGTAGAAGAGACATATGAAGTACCTCACTGCACTGCTATGACCTTCTAGTTTCTCATAGTCTTTTCTTTCATAAGACACACCCATATTGTAGTGTCTACTGTTTCCAACCTCGGTGTACGGAAGAGTTAAAGATTCTTGTGAGGCAATTGGAATCCTTTCAGGTGAATCTTCACCCAGTTCTTTATAGGTGTCTCTCCTACTTAATTTAAGTTTTTAAACTTGTATAATCTTTCCAAAGCATTTAGGTGAGTTTTAACAAATAGGCACTCTTCCTTTAAAATGCATCAGTTCACATCATCTTTAAGAAGCAAATGCATCTAGCAGAAGCAACCTTGGAAACGAACAGACTGATTCTTGGTAAACATGCACTTTGCATGGTGGCTGTCTAGGGTGTTTGGAACCAAACCAGACATTTGGTTCCACAGAGCGAGTGAGAGGCTAGGGCCCTGCTCCTTTTTTGATCCATTTTATCAACAACTTGGGAGCAGATTATATCAAATCACAAGCTCATGTAATTTTGCAGGCTTGGTTTTCTTCTGATTTTTTTGAGCTCTCTTTTCCTTTGAAATCCCTTTCTTTGTTCATTTTACAACTCTGATGTACCAGACACTATTCTGTTGTTAAGAGCCTTCAAGTCAATTCCAACTCCTAGCAACCTTGTATAGAGTTTGCAAGGAACAGCTGGTGAACCGCTGACCTTGTGGTTCAAACCGACATTGAAGTCTACTTCTTTATCCCACAGTGTCACACCAGGACTCCCGAGACTACTCTTGTTTTTGTTCTGTGCCATCCAGTCGGTTCCTACCCGTATAGGGTTTCTGAGGAGCAGCTGATGAGTTCGAACCATCAACCTTGAAGTTCAAGCTGACCTTGAGGTCGAGTTCTTATCCTCCGGTGCCACACCAGGACTCTAGGTGATGGGAAATAAAGTGGTGAATAAAGCCTAATCCCTGAGCTTGTGGTGTGTACAGTCTCAGTGGGTCAGTTAGTGCAAAATAAGTCTCTTTTTTTT